ACCCTGGAAATACACACCTTTAGAAAAATACTACGGTTTTATTTGCTTGGTTTTTAAACCTATGTATGGACTTCTAATTGATATTGTACATGGATTTAGGATGTCCCATGGCTGTTTTGGTGTATCTGTCATTTTTCTGCTGAGATTGCTACACAAATCTGGTCCACTTCTGCGGTCCATGGTCCACATTGTTTTAGTATATAATACAGAAATAGGGATGGAATTTCATTCATAGACCCCTAAACCCTAGTACTACATGTACACCTACCCTCGATAAATGAACAGGTGGCATTAAGGATAGAGTGGATGACACAATGGGCTGGACAGAATGGGCAATGGCAATGGCTATGGGTGCAGCAAAGATTGAGCAGGGCCACGTATATTCTATGTCCAACTAAAAGCAATGATGCTCTATGCAACTGCCTAGGGGTGAGGGTCCACGTGGCTGTAGCCCATTTTCTAACAACTGCATAGAGTGGAGTTGTGAAGGATTCCATCCTATCATTACATTCCCAATGCTCCAGTATCCGCATTAAAAAGACAACAGTAATAATGTATCATCCCTCGCAGTGATCGTCGGTGGTAACTTTAAATATCAACAGATTTACTGGTGTCTCAGAACCCAATGGTGCATCTCTGACTGTTTGCAGGTGAAGGAAACAAACTTGGATTGGTTCCTAGATGATTGGAATACATACTGTTCACATAGAGGACGTATTTTTTAAAAATATTCTTTTTATTTTTCAGTTTTCTTCTGTTTGGCAATTATTACAAATAAAACAATACATCCGACATGTCCCAGATCCTACTTTGTGAGATTTGTTTTAATAATATTAATATTACTGATAACATTTATTTATTCTTAACACCATCAACATATCATTAGTGATACTGTAACCGAGTAAACTTGCAGAAGCCAGACACAGAGAGATGGATGCAGGTTTTCAGGAAGTAAGAGGTCTTTATTAACATACCGATCGGGTCTCAGATGAACTAACGTTCCACAACAGGTCTGAGGGCCGAACACACAGAGTACATGCTTTATATAGAACTAAAACTCCTCCCATTAATAGCTCCACCCGCACATACCCTTAACCAATCAGTAGACAGGATTTGGATTTCCTTATATGGGCAGACCACATGGCTCATCCAAAACAAAGGAGAAAGGAGTGTGATTTCAGTTCCTGCATTCCTGCACATGCTCAGTACATTGATGACAGTATCTTAGCTATGTGTAACTAACTAACTGATACAACATACACATATGCCACGTGGAAATCTCGGCCTACTAAATTTCCATTTCACCAAAATTCCATCACATTCCCCCCTTTGATGCCTCTGATCCAAATTATTCCAGGTGCATCACCAATCATAGTTTACCAAAACCTCTCAAGTATCCATGGACCAGAGCAGACCTTGTAAGCATCTCAGCATCATCACAAACTCCTTCAGCATTCCTCATCTTGGATATGTTCTCTCTGGGCTAGGGATTCATATCTATAGACAGCCATTACATGAGCAGCTGTCTTTCTTTCTATAGTACTCTCTATGATTCTACGTATAGATCTGACCACTAATGTCATTAGGCAGGGCAGAAAGAGACTTAAGAATATAATGTATATTACTCCTCCAACTAACGCCTTAATCCCTCCAAGCTGCTCATACCAACTTCCAAACCAACTACTAGGATTATACCCATTCCAAACCTGAGTAGGTACATACGTCAGTTTAACCATGTGGCTTGTAAGTTCAGCCACTGCCCGCCCTTCATCATCTATGTGCAGACAACAGTTGCTGAGATTAAACTTTCCGCATACACCTCCCTCTACTGCTAATAGGTAGTCCAGAGCTAATCTATTTTGATAGATGGCTGATCTCATTCGAGTATTTTGCTTAGCTAGAAGATTAAGTGCTTGATCTGTCTCATTAGTGATCATCTCAACCACCGCCTGTAGTCTTATAATACGGTTGAGCATATATATTGGGGTTCTATATCCATAAGTACCATCTTCTGCCCAAGTAGCAGGTCCATAATAATTAATAATGCGTTGGGGAGGCCACTCATCTTCCCAGCTACCTATATTCAAGGATGCTCGCTTCTTTTTATGATTTACATCATAAACCGTAACTCCCAAGGTCTCTCCTGTCTCAATTGGCAACAGGAAGGTTTTCAGGAAGTAAGAGGTCTTTATTAACATACCGATCGGGCCTCAGGTGAACTAACGTTCCAAAACAGGTCTGAGGGTCGAACACATGGAGTACATGCTTTTTATAGAACTATAACTCCTTCCATTAATAGCTCCACCCGCACATACCCTTAACCAATCAGTGCACAGGATTTCCTCATATGGGCAGACCACATGGCTCATCCGAAACAAAGGAGAAAGGAATGTAATTTCAGTTCCTGCATTCCTGCACATGCTCAGTACATTGATGACAGTATCTTAGCTACGTGTAACTAACTAACTGATACAACATACACATATGCCACGTGGAAATCTCAGCCTACTAAATTTACATTTTACCGAAATTCCATCACAATACAAAATTAAAATTAGATCATAAACTATTCAATTACCTTCAACTTTGTTTCTGCAGCTTTGTTCACCTATTGGAGGAAAGGTACAGGAATAGGCTCACAAATAACAGTACTACATTCCAGCAACCATTGCATGGAAAAATGAGAGGTTGAAGGAATACGTCACGACATGTATGCAAACTTAAAGAGGCATTATAGTGTCTGGAACACAAACGTGCATTAATGACACTACAGTTCTAAAACACTATTTAGGTGGTTGGCCCCCCTTATCCGTTACCAGTCTGTATAACCAATATACATTGTTATAAATTACATTTTAGTTGTATAAATTGTTATTGGTAATTTACCTAAAATTTCTCAGAACAGCCCCGCCCCTGGCCACACCCCTAAAATTAAAGAATCCCTCTTTGTCCATGTGACATGTTGTGAGGTGTGCAGCTTGTATAGTTTTTCGTAAATTTTTTAGTGAGCAGCTCAGACATTGTCGGTCACAAGTAAGAAGACTTTGAATAGTATATGTGGAACTGCACTCACTCCCACAAATCTGAGCTTGACAAAGACCTTTTGGGGTCGAAACATTGCTGTTGTGGTTCTCAATAAAGTGCCTGTCTTGAACCAAAGAGTACCTGGACCCCTATTATGTTACAAGTAAGAAGACTGTGATTTCACCGGCAGTTAAAGGGTCGGAGAATGTGTTCACTCCGGATGTCTCTAATTTCGTACTTGCTTCCTGTATAATTACGGAGAGCTGTGGTACCCAAGCATGACTGCTTAATTAGTCGATCTGCTCCTTCTCTCTATTATTAAGCGAATGCCGACACTTATTCTGTTTTTGCAATTTGTTTGTTTATGTTAGTAGCAGAGGTTTGTTAACCATTTAAACATCAGACAATCAATACATTTTTACTTTTTTTTAAGAATGGAAGGCATTCATTGATACCAGACAGCATTCCCACACCATTTTTCCATTTAGGAACATTACAGTTGTAAAGTGCCTCAGAATATGTTGACACTATATAAATGGTAATAATGTCAATATTAAAGGGACATCTTAGACACTATAACTGTTTCATATCATTGGAGTGGTTTTTAATACCTGGAGTCGCCTAGTGATGTTTAGTGTTAAAATGTTTACAACAGAAGTAAGGTCCACAGCTGCCAACAGCTTGGTCCTTCGTTGCTTCCCTTTAGTCTCAGCAGAGATAGGCAGCGGTGATGAGAGTTTTAGCTCAGAGCTCTCATTGCTGGTATGGACTGAAATGGCTAATACAGAGTTACACTCTGCCTCCAGCAGAGGGCGGAATCACGGGCCCATGGGAGCCCACATTCAGTGGTGGCTCTAGACTTTATAAGGCCTTAGGCGAAACTCAAACAAGAGGCTCCCACTAACACTCATAGTAAAAATAACATATAGGGGTTGCATCGTGTGTATAATGAGCTGTTGTTATATTGAGGAACAGGCTTGCAGCACTGGATACAGAGATTTACTCTCTGTATTCACTGTTGGGGTGAGTGTGGCACGGTTGAAGGAGAAAGTGTACCAGGGCGAGGGGAGGTGAGAGTGACAGGATGAGGGAGGGTTATGTGACAGGGTGAGTGTGGCATGTCTAGGCAGGATGAGTGACAGGATAGGAGAAGTTAATGTGATAGGGTGAGTGTGGAAGAACGAGAGCCGGTAATTGTGGTATGGATGGAGAGGGTGAGAGCAACAAGATTAGGAGAAGTTAATGTGAGCGAGGCTGGGTGAAGGGGGCATGACAGTGTGGGGGGTGGCTGTATGTGTGTGGAATTGTGACGTGGGTAGGTGAGAGTGTGGGAGGCAGTGTTAAGAAAGGGTGACAGTGTGTGCAGGGGCAGTGTGTGGGAGGAGTAACTGTATGTATTGGTGACATAGTGTTGGGGGCAAGTGTGTGAAAGGGTAACAGGGTGAGGGAGCAGTGTAGAGGAATGTGACAGTTTAGGGGGCAGGGTGTGCGTGGGTGACAGTGAGGAGGAAGATGACAGTGTGGAGAATGGTGACAGTGTGGGGGGACAGGGTGTGTGGGACACAGTGAAGAGAGGGCAGGGTGTGCGACAGCATGAGGGTGCAGTGTGTACGACAGTGTAGGGGGGCAAGGGTGTGTGACCGTGTGGGTGGCAAAGTGTGTGGAAGACAGTGTGGGGGGGCAGGGTGTGTGACAGTGTGGGGGCAGTGTGTGTGACAGTGGAGGGGGCATTTTGTGTGAGAGACAGTGTGTATGACAGTGTGGGATGCAGGGTGTGTGAGAGTGAGTCAGTGGAGGAGGCAGAATGTGTGGGAGACAGTGTGGGGGGCAGGGTATGTGTTCGTCAGTGTGGGGTGCAGTGTAAGTGGTGGTCAGTGTGGGAGGCAGTGTATGTGAGGGTCATCAGGGTGAGGGGCAGTGTATGTGGTGGTCAGTGTATGTGGGGGCAGGGCATGTGGTGGTCAGTGTATGTGGGAGGCAGGGTATATGGCTGGCAGGGAAACGTAGGTGCAGTGTATGTGGTGGGCAGGGCAGTGTGGGTGGCAGGGCAACATGGGTGCAGTGTATGTGGTGGGCAGGGCAGTGTGGGTGGCAGGGCAACATGGGGGCAGGGCAACGTGTAGTGTGGGGCTGGGGGGCAGGAGCAGTGTGGGGGTGGCGGGTATATGACTGGCAGGGCAATGTGGTGGGTGGCAGGGCAGTGTGGGGGAGTACAAGTGTTGTGAAGTACAGGGCAGGGGGTGGGAGGGCAGTGTTGGGGCAGTGGGGAGGGCCCTTTGGGGCAGTGGGGGGTGGGGAGGCGTTGGGGCAGTGAGGATGGGAGGGCAGTGTTGGGGCAGGGGGGGTGGGAGGTCAGTTTTAGGGTAGTGGAGGTGGGAGGGCAGTGTTGGGGACAGGGGCAGTGGGGGTGGGAGGGCAGTGTGTGTGGATGACAAGTCTCCACGCAATTAAATACCTTATTTTTGAAATATTCCCTGGTGGTTGCAGTCCCTGGTGGTCCGGTGGGATGACTGTTCCATCTGCAGCTCCGCGAGAGCTGCAGACCTCGTTCTCACGAGCGCCGATCAGAGCATTGCCGTGGTAATATGCAGAAACGCTCTGTGTGCACGCGAGAATCACAATACGTGATCTGCAGCTCTGCACCCGGCGGAGCTGCAGATCAGAGGCTGGCTCTCCCTGTGCCACCTGGCAGCATACTGGGCAAGCTGCCGGGCCCCCTCTCACTGTCGGATCCTCGGTCATGGATCGAAGATCTGACAGTTCAGTCTGCCCTAAGGCGATTTAGGCGGCCGCGAGGCCCCAGCAAGCGCGAGGCCTTAGGCGGCCGTCTAAATCACCTAATTAGAGAGCCGCCTCTACCCACATTCACTGTTAAACCAAAGCTAAAAATCACACTGAACCTCGAGGCATCACTTGGGGACACCAGGAACCATAACCACTTTTAGCATCAACTACTTTTTATTTTTTTTTAAATCTTTCTTTTATTTAAGGCATATAGTATGGGGTACAGAAGAAAGACAGGGGAAATGTATGCATAGTTACAACATGGGGTTAATACATCGATAGCATTAATACAACACATTTCCAAGGTAGTGATGCCTCATTTTTAAAATTTTTGTTGTTTAACAAAAGCGGTACTACAGTAGTTGTACGTTAACAAAGGTAGCGTAGCCTAGTGATAATATTGTTAAGTAAACTTGTGACACGTACATAACTGCAGCGTGGGTTTGTCGATGCGTTGCGTCTGCTATTCTCGTGGCAGCATCATTAGCGTAGGAGTAGTGTACTGGTTGTTTAATCCAGTTAGTGTATATAGCCCATGTGATTCTCCCTATCGTTCCAAAGCCTAGGGGCTGAGCCACACCAGCCTAGGCTGGCATATGTGAGCTAGATAAAAACAGGTTAAGTAGGTGAGCAAGCCCAGCAGTATGGTGTATATTACTAGTAAGGTAGGCATTAGCTAAGTAAGGTCTGTAATTGGAGGCACGTAGTAAGTAGAGTCTACAGTAGGCATTTAAACATGTTCTGGCATAACTGTCTAACAGCCACATCAATCGGTTTACACTCACATAGCTTGCGCTCGCTTCCTTCCCATCCCCTTCTAGTCTAGGTTAGAATGAAGTAAAACAGAATGCTTAAACATGCTAGCACTATACTGCATACGAAGCGATAAATAATAAATTAACCTGTTTCTCCACCGTTAGGTCTGCAGGGTTATAGTCATAATCTGAGTTTCAGCCCGTTTTGTTCAGCCTATGCCAGCTCTGAGCGCTTGACAGGTGGGCCATGTATAATGAGTAGTAGTGAAAGATTGTGTATAGTGGCATACTTTGATAACCAAAAACAAACAAGATAATAGATTGTCAACAAAATTATTAGCAGGGTTAGTAACCACCGGGGCTAGGGACTTATGAGGCACTATGATGAGCGGAATGTGCTTAAATAAATTAGACGGTGGGTATGTGGCATCTACTACTTTTAAACATTTGTCCAACTTGAATATCAGGGGTTAAAATACAATTCACATGTTTTGAGTCACCTTTTTAGTAATCACTTTCAACGGACATCTTAAAGAGAGAGAGAGAGAAAACGTGGGTTTCTCCACTAAACCGCAAAATGCAGTGAATTGAAATATCATAGAGAATAAACAAAAAAAGAAAAAAAAAATGCCATTCTACCTGTGTATGATTTGCTGAGAAGACTATAGTCTTAAAAAAGTAACTTTTAATAAATAAATCTAAAATAAAAATGAAAAATAATATGAAAAATAATATGAACAGCAGGAGTGAGTGGAGACTATACAGCGAGTAAAACTCTGTGACTACTTATATAAGCTATAAAAGTGTATACATAATAGCACTAATGCTGAAGCAATACTGTTTGCTACAATATAACATCAGTGTATTCCCAAGTAATACTGTATTATATATCACTAATAGCTGTAACAAGAGGGGGGAGATAAGACGACTGCTAAACCAGTGCTGTCAGTAGTTAAAAAGGTATATGTATAAGTAAATCCCTACATGATAGTATAACTAACGACATGGTACAATTGATAATGTTCTATGGTGCTTAACCTCAAAAAGATCTAAGATAATGGTTCAGCTGAGACAGATTTCTGACAGACGGCAATTAGCCAGTTAAATATCACAAAAGCTGCCTAGATCATAGTAGCGTATGGGTAATAAATTAAAGGTTGCTGTCAAGCAGTAAAGTGTAAAATAAGGGGTTGCTGAACTGGCTCCGTTTTTTCTGCAAGATACCTAGCAGTATATTCTCGTGTAACAACGGCTGCCTGCACTGAATGATGTTATCTTATGCTTGACCACAGTGGAGCACAAAGTAGTAGCTCACCTGTGAAGGACTGCTGACACACAAGTTCCCTAAGTGCTAGCTGCATCTAAATAATAGGTCAAAGTATAAAGAGAGGGTTTACAAACAGTTTTTGAACAGGTTGCCTAGGTAGTAGAAAATATACAGACAGTGACAGAGGAAGGCGTATAAAATAAAGATTCCTGAATCTTGTGCCTTCGAGGGCACCCCTTAATAAAAATGCCTGGTCTTATCAATCTCCCCCCATAAATGTAATAAAGGAAAAAGAAAGAGAAATAAAGTATGTACAGAGTACACAAAATTAGTGTTAAGAGTCTCCAATATGCACTCCTGAGATGCTGGACATGAATGAACTTGATGTCGGTAATTTAGCAATAGATAAGCAGAGAGTTAGGTGCCGACACCAATAATATGTCAGTATGTGTCCAGAGCCCCTGACGTGCACGTTTCGCCAGTGGAGCTCATCAGAGGGGAAGAATTGAAATATTAATTCAAAAATCTGGGAGAATTATTCCAACTCTTTGTGTCTAAATCTTGCAATTGGGCATTCACTTTACTAAAAGTTGCTGTTTAGTGAATAATCCATAGAAGCTGTAGGTAGATGTATTGTATCACAGTGTTACATCCAAGTGCTGCTTATTCTACAAAAAAAGCAGGAAACAGTTAAAGGACCACTATAGGCACCCAGACCACTTCAGCTTAATGAGGTGGTCTGGGTGCCTGGTCCAGCTAGGTTTAACCCTTTTTTCTATAAACATAGCAGTTTAATGTTAATCCAGCCTCTAGTGGCTGTCTCATTGACAGCCACTAGAGGCGCTTCCGCGTTTCTCACTGTGATTTTCACAGTGAGAAGACACCAGCGTCCATAGGAAAGCATTGAGAATGCTTTCTTATGGACTGGCTGAATGCGCGCGTGCCGCGCATGCGCATTCAGCTGAGGAGGAGGAGGAGAGTTCCCCGCCTGGCGCTGGAGAAAGATGTAAATTTAACCCCTTCCACCCCCTAGAAACCGGCGGGAGGGGGCCCTGAGGGTGGGGGCACCCTCAGGGCACTATAGTGCCAGGAAAATGAGTATGTTTTCCTGGCACTATAGTGGTCCTTTAAGAAACAATGTCTGCCTACAACCTGTTCTTGCAACTAGTATGGAGAACCCATTTATATATCAATGTTTAGTTATGATGACAGTTAATTTATTAACCGTTTCAGTGCTTGGCAGATCACTCTGCCTAGAGGTAACGTCACGGTGAGTACACTCACAAATCTCATTTCATCGGGAAGTGTTGCCCCTGTTAGCTGCACAATATGTGCGTCCGTTACAATGCGTGTTAGATCTGCAGCAGGTTTGTCAGGAAGATTTGTTGTCATTGAAACCAGTTGGATCGCTCTGTGTAGCTAGGCAGCACTTGTATAAAATGTACCCGAGGCTTAACCGGTCCTGCCGACATTAACAGCGTTATTCTCTGATGTAGATTTCTAATTTAAAGGGACACTATAGTCACCAGAACAACTACAGCTTATTAAATTTGTTCTGGTGAGTAGAATCATTACCTTCAAGCTTTTTGCTGTAAACACTGTCTTTTCAGAGAAAATGCAGTGTTTACATTACAGCCTAGTGATAACTTCACTGGTCACTCCTCAGATGGCTGTTAGAGATCCTTCCGGGGTCATGGCTGCCTAAAAATGCATCCAAACATTCAGTGTCTCCTCCCTCTGCATGCAGACACGTTCCTCATAGAGATTCATTGATTCAATTCATCTCTATGAGGAGATGCTGATGGGCCAGGGCTGTGTTTGAATCATGCTGGCTCTGCCCCTGATCTGCCTCTTTGTCAGTCTCAGCCAATCCTATAAGGAAGCATTATGATTGGATCAGGCCACCACTTCTGATGATGTCAGCAGACTGCTTGTTTTTCTGAGGCAAACAGCATGCAGAATTACAGCTTCATGCTTGAATACAGTAAGATTTTGCTATATTTATGGAGGCATGAGGGGCCCGAGGGGGCTAGATGGTGGTGTTAACACTATAGGGTCATGAATACATGTTTGTGTTCCTGACCCTATAGTAATCCTTTAAGGTCAAAATAAACAAACTAGAAATGTTCTCCAAGACAGCTATACTGTCAATGCAACTACTTTGACCTTAAACCTGAAATTCACTTTGAATTCTTACTAGTAAATGGCCCTGTAAGGATTCCTATGCGACTCACGCAGTGAAGCCAAGATAGCAGATGGAAGCGACTCACTGTGAGGTCAGATAGAGAGAGCCCAAAGGTGATAGAAATTGGAAAAACTGTTTGCAGATGCAGCAGTTTACATTGCAGGGCTAAACACATCTGTAGTGGCTGTCTTCCTCACGGCCACTAGAGGGTGCTTACGCTGCAATGACCGAGTCACCGGACATTTTCTTGCATTACATGAGGATGCGGAATGTCCTTAAATGCTGATCATAGGAAAGCATTGGGTTCAATGTTTTTTTCTGAGAAGCATTTGATTGGACGAGAGAGGCGCTCCCCACTCATGCGTTTGTCTTCCACAGTGTTTCTATAGGAGATGCATATCCTTACTTTTTGTGTCACTTTACCCCACTACCTCTAGTGTATAAGCTCATTGAGCAGGACCCTCAATCCCTCTAACATGTAAACTCACTGAGCAGGCCCTCAATCCCTCTGTTACTGTGTCACTATACCCCACTCCCTCTAACATGTAACCTCACTGAGCAGGGCCCTCAATCCCTCTGTTACTGTGTCACTATACCCCACTCCCTCTAACATGTAAACTCACTGAGCAGGGCCCCTCAATCCCTCTGTTACTGTGTCACTATACCCCTCTCCCTCTAACATGTAAACTCACTGAGCAGGCCCTCAATCCCTCTGTTACTGTGTCACTATACCCCACTCCCTCTAACATGTAAACTCACTGAGCAGGGCCCTCAATCCCTCTGTTACTGTCACTATACCCCCACTCCCTCTAACATGTAAACTCACTGAGCAGGACCCTCAATCCCTCTGTTACTGTGTCACTATACCCCACTCCCTCTAACATGTAAACTCACTGAGCAGGCCCTCAATCCCTCTGTTACTGTGTCACTATACCCCACTCCCTCTAACATGTAAACTCACTGAGCAGGCCCTCAATCCCTCTGTTACTGTGTCACTATACCCCACTTCCTCTAACATGTAAACTCACTGAGCAGGGCCTCAATCCCTCTGTTACTGTGTCACTATACCCCACTCCCTCTAGCATGTAAACTCACTGAGCAGGCCCTCAATCCCTCTGTTACTGTGCCACTATACCCCACTCCCTCTAACATGTAAACTCACTGAGCAGGCCCTCAATCCCTCTGTTACTGTGTCACTATACCCCCCTCCCTCTAACATGTAAACTCACTGAGCAGGGCCTCAATCCCTCTGTTACTGTGTCACTATACCCCACTCCCTCTAACATGTAAACTCACTGAGCAGGCCTCAATCCCTCTGTTACTGTGTCACTATACCCCACTCCCTCTAACATGTAAACTCACTGAGCAGGCCCTCAATCCCTCTGTTACTGTGTCACTATACCCCACTCTCTCTAACATGTAAACTCACTGAGCAGGCCCTCAATCCCTCTGTTACTGTGTCACTATACCCCACTCCCTCTAACATGTAAACTCACTGAGCAGGCCCTCAATCCCTCTGTTACTGTGTCACTATACCCCACTCCCTCTAACATGTAAACTCACTGAGCAGGACCTCAATCCCTCTGTTACTGTGTCACTATACCCCACTCCCTCTAACATGTAAACTCACTGAGCAGGCCCTCAATCCCTCTGTTACTGTGTCACTATGCCCCACTCCCTCTAACATGTAAACTCACTGAGCAGGGCCCTCAATCCCTCTGTTACTGTGTCACTATACCCCACTCCCTCTAACATGTAAACTCACTGAGCAGGCCCTCAAATCCCTCTGTTACTGTCACTATATCCCACTCCCTCTAACATGTAAACTCACTGAGCAGGCCCTCAATCCCTCTGTTACTGTGTCACTATACCACACTCCCTCTAACATGTAAACTCACTGAGCATGGCCCTCAATCCCTCTGTTACTGTGTCACTATACCCACTCCCTCTAACATGTAAACTCACTGAGCATGGCCCTCAATCCCTCTGTTACTGTGTCACTATACCCACTCCCTCTAACATGTAAACTCACTGAGCAGACCCTCAATCCCACTGTTACTGTGTCACTATACCCCACTCCCTCTAACATGTAAACTCACTGGGCAGGGCCCTCAATCCCTCTGTTACTGTGTCACTATACCCCACTCCCTCTAACATGTAAACTCACTGAGCAGGGCCCTTAATCCCTCTGTTACTGTGTCACTATACCCCACTCCCTCTAACATGTAAACTCACTGAGCAGGGCCCTCAATCCCTCTGTTACTGTCACTATACCCCACTCCTCCTAACATGTAAACTCACTGAGCGGGCCCTCAATCCCTCTGTTACTGTGTCACTATACCCCACTCCCTCTAACATGTAAACTCACTGAGCAGAGGGTCCCTCCGTTACTGTGTCACTGCACCCCTCCCTCTACTTGTAAACTCACTGAGCAGGACCCTCAATCCCTCTGTTACTGTCACTATACCCCACTCCCTCTAACATGTAAACTCACTGAGCAGGCACTCAATCCCTCTGTTACTGTGTCACTATACCCCACTCCCTTTAACATGTAAACTCACTGAGCAGGCACTCAATCCCTCTGTTACTGTGTCACTATACCCCACTCCCTCTAACATGTAAACTCACTGAGCAGGCCCTCAATTCCCTCTGTTACTGTCACTATACCCCACTCCCTCTAACATGTAAACTCACTGAGCAGGGCCCTCAATCCCTCTGTTACTGTGTCACTATACCCCACTCCCTCTAACATGTAAACTCACTGAGCAGGCCCTCAATCCCTCTGTTACTGTCACTATACCCCACTCCCTCTTGCATGTAAACTCACTGAGCAGGGCCCTCAATCCCTCTGTTACTGTGTCACTATACCCCACTCCCTCTAACATGTAAACTCAGTGAGCGGGCCCTCAATCCCTCTGTTATTGTGTGTCCAACTCTTCTGGTTACAAATATGTGTCAGTTAGTCCACCTATTGTACAGTGCTATGGAACTTGGTGACGCTTTATAAATA